AAAGCAGCCTGACATGCTTGGGCTTTCCAGCTGACAAGCACTTCAATCTCACGCAGACGTTGGGGCCCCCACCTCAGAGCCATTCCAGAATATGATCTGCTGATGTTCTCACAATGAAAATATTTTCCTAAATGGCTAGTTTAAGGGACATATTTTAAAAACTATTTGGCTCTGTTGCAATTTAGACAAAATATTAAAAAAAAATGCGGACTAACACTGTAGCATGAACAATATGAAATTCTTGCTCATCTGAAAATCCTACATTTTAATTACTGTAAATGAAAGATCGAATCTTCTATCTCGATTTTTTTTATTGAATCTCACAGGATTTTAAATTTCTGGCACAGGCTAAGTCTTTGTGCCCCTCTCTTTTGGGTCTCTTTCATGTATTGTGCGTACATGTAGACATATTTGTGATTTTATTTGCAAGTTTTTTATTTGGCTGCAGCCAGCTGTGACCACAAGAGGGTAGAGCTGCTCAGAGAATTAACCGCTCGCACTGGATGAGTGAACAACCAGTTTTATTTTAAATTCTTTTTGAAAATGCAGATAAATGAATACAACTTTATTTCTCTTCCCAAACATAAGAATAAAAAATGGTTAATCTGACTATTTATGAAACAGATTACAATAATCGGCCAGTGAAAAATCGTATCTCTTGTGTAAGAGGGAGGAGAAATAGAGGAGTGTAATTATCTCATTTGAATTGAAAAGCTGTTGATGGTGGTTATGTGGGACAAAATATAAGTTGGGGAGTTTTTGGCCTGGTCTCTCAACAACATAAGGCTCATGCCATCTCGTTTTCTGTTCATGTCAGTCCTCTGATAGCTTTTCAACCCATTAGTTATTTCAGCCAAACATATCTGTTTTGATCACAGGCCTCCACAACATTGCTCTGCAAGGGAAACAGATGCCGCCCACAAAACGGTTTGTTTGCAGCCATGGCGTGGTGTTTGGCTGGCTGTCAGCTTGCACTCAGTCCTGACTGACGTGTGTGTACCTTGGCCAACAACCAAGCACCTGCCAGTCAGCCCAGCAGTGGGCACATATCTTCAGGGCAGTCAGAGCATACCTGCTTCTTGTCTGGCTGGAAAGCCAAAGAAAAGTAAAGCAGGAGATGTGATGGGCAAGGGGAATATGAAGAATATGGCAGTGTGGGGCATGTATAGACATCGTAGAAATGTAAAATTATTTTAAGATACTGAGAAAGGCATTAGGACTTCAATGCTGCATGTAGGAGATTCTGGTGTACTGGATGTGAAATAATAGGGGCTGAGTTTGAGGGGAAGAGAGGAAACTGAGGGCTGGCAGGCAAATGAAAAAGTGTATGTGAGGATTAATGGGTTTTGTGATTTGGAGGAGACAGAAGATCTGGGGGATACTGCAGTGGCAGAGAACCTGTAGGGAGCTGCAGCTATTCTGTTGGAGTGTGTGGGAAAGGGAAGTAACTGGGAGTAGCAGACAAACATGGGGGACATGGAGAGAAGTAGTAGTATTGCGTGAGGAAAGCAGAGGAAATCCAGCCCTGTATTGATAGAGTGAAGTTGTATAGGCCAAAGCATCATGAAAACGGGCAACTTTGATAGAGAAGGGAGGTCATGAGAGCACCTCCCCAGGGAGCAAAATGCCATCTGATGACCTCAGCCCTTATTTAGGGAAATCACAACCCAGGCACAGAGCCATAGGAAACAATGCATCATGCATTGTGCTGCTCAGAGAACAATCCAGTTTTCTCAGTACTACAGAGAAAGTACAAATTAATTCCACTACATAGCATTTATGCTCCAGGATATGTAGGAATTTGCACTGTGACCCAGGAAGGGAAGATAACTCCTGTACGAGGTCATATACAAAATAGCCTTCCAGCAGAAGATGCAGATGTAGATGGAAGCTACAGTGAAACTAATAATTCTTTGATACTGGTATTCAAGATGCTTGAAAAAAAGAGAAAAGCTGGAACATTTAGTGCATAGGGATGTGTTAGGATTGTATCATGTCTTTTTTCCCAAGAAAGGAACTGACTGAAACCTGCAATTAGACTTGGTTACATCCTTCCTCCAGAGACCTCCAGAATTGAGGTGAAATAGGCTTTCTGGAAAGACTGTTGCAGGAAAATGGATATACAAAACTCTAGTAGGGGACTACTGGTGAGAAGAAATGTCTGTGACCTCTGCCCCGAAATGAATCTGAGATACAATAAAAATCTGAGACAAATGAAAAAAAACCCACAACCAAGTCCTATCTGAAGATTTTCCAAGGCTAGAAGCTGCTGCCAGATCAGTTTGAGTCAATAGTTGCCTACAGTTGAATGACTGAGGCCAGTTACGTTTACAACAGTGATGTGAGGTATAGGCCATGTTGTTACACAATTTCATGCAGTATTGACTAGTAATGCTATGGAGATTTGACAAAATAAACACAAGGTATGTCCAGTAAAACAGGCAGTACAGAATCTGAGGATAGAGTCTGATGGCAGATTGCTGGCTTTCTAAAAGAGCAAGCCACAGAAAAACAAACAAAACCCCAAGTCTCCTGTGAGGAAATGAGGGAGCTTTTCATGCAAATTGGCAAGTAAATACTTTATGAAATGAAAATCCCTAGTTGGATCTGACAAAGGGATTATTTAGTCTGTCAAGGCCTTTGAGAATTCACAGGAGTGTTAAAAAGGCATGGCATAGATTCCCTGTGGTTAAATGGGCAAAAGAGTCTGTCTCATACTTCCAGTGCAGCTTCAACACTTGCCAACTCGAAGCACTCCTGCTACATTTCTTTAAGCATGGCTGAAACAACCAACTGCTGTCTGAAGTGCAGTGTCTTGGTCTGGAGAGCTGCAGCTCCTGATGTCATGTGCCTTCGAATTAACTGGGTTGAAAACCAAACTGGATTGACAAGTGTCATTGTGCATTGAGAATTTACCACTGGAAATGTGACTGATACCAGGTGTAATGCACACTGAAATACAGGGTTTGGGGGTTTTGGCTCGTTTGTTTGTGTTTAATGCCGACCTTTTTCTATTCTTCATTTTTATTTCAGCTACTGAAGCTGACAGTCAGGATTCAGGGATGGTTCATGAACCTGGCCAACCATCTTCCCCAGAAGAAACAAACGGAGACCAGTCTGTATATTCTAAACAGTAAATGGGCTGGAGAAGAGCTGAGTAGCAGGCAGCGCTGTTTGCATTCCTGAGGAGAGCGTTAGTTCATATGAGGGTAGAGTGACACTTGGTCACTGAGCAGTCACAACACCTAGAAAGGGCTTAGTCCTCTGTCTCACTTTGTGTTGGAGCTACCAGGCTCACAGCTCTGCCTCCTTAGCACTGCATAGCCCTTGTTCCTAAAAGAGGTTTTCCAGAGCTATGATAAATCCCTTCCCCCTTAAGCAGGTGGAAGCGACAAATGATTGTGACACTGAATTTGATCCCTTTGCTGAGGCTGGATGGCTCCCTGACTTTGAAGTCTCTGAGCCATGTACATTATGTAGTCTTCTCATGTTCATGACAGTAGTCAGAATTGTGTTTGTATATCAATTTGCTGTAAAGGCAACCCGGTTCTGAATACTATGGAAGAGTTAAGCGATGCGGAGCCTGAAGACTGAGTGAAAGAGGACGGGAACACAGTCGGGGCTGCTGATTCACTTGGTTACCTAAGAACATGATTCACTGGATTCGGGCTGGTAAGGGAGCAGTAGGTGCTCAGTACGCTTGTCAAGAAGGGCATGGGAGGAATTCGCAGAAAGGTCTGATACAGGCTGAAATCCAGTGCCTCTGCATTGTTTTCTGGGTGAGCTGCCTTGAAGGCACCTTCTGTTCAGGTTGGGAACAGGGTGATTTGAAATCACTTCATGTCATACAGGCTTCAGGATTTTGAATGTTCTTGACGGTTTATGCATAATTTCAATGTGTTTAACTCAGTACAGCTGAAACTGAACCATGCTATTTGTTTCTAAAGGGCTCGTGGAGACTGCTTTATACAGTTGTATTGGAAGTGCTCTGTGGTGTCTCAAAGGTGTGGAGAGATTGCCTAGGAAACTAGGACAAAACACCATTTAGCATAATCATTAGTCAAATCCATAGATACTGTAATTTTCAATGATAATGTTTAATCAAAAATGAAAGGTACATTCCTCTACTGTTTTGCCTAGAGGAATTGGTTTTGTATTAAGTGGATCAGTTGTTAACGTTTGAATAATTTGGGGGGAGGCTTTTGTATAATTAAAAAAGACACAATAAATTGTTGGTATGGTTGTGACGATTTGAGGCTTGCATATCTACACATAATTTTTCTAGCCAAATATCAGATGTTGCTCTGAAAAGCTCTGTGTAAAAACTGGTCTGGAGAGACATTTAGGCTTCAGTAGTTTTCTTCTACAACTTTTCACTGCTGCTGTAAAGGTGAGCACAGTAAAGTAAACATTCTTTTCTGCTACTTGTACTAATAATCCCTTGCACAATGCAAGATGTAAAGAAATTATACTAAGCTGAATTATTTTTGTTTTTAAGTACAGTAGATGATCTGCTGGAATGCTTTCCAGCACACAGGCTTCTAGGGGACGGTGAGTGAAAGTGGCAAACTTAGAACTGCCAAGAGGAAAAACTGAAAAACACATGTATCTATAGCAAATAATCTGATGTACAACTTGTTATATACTAGATTTACAACAGCATCTGCTCCCAGGACTGTCCCAAACCGCCTCTTAAAACGGCTGTCTGCTTGGGAAAATCAGGATACTTCTTTAAGGTGTCTAGATAGAGTGAAGCTCTCTTCAAAATAAAATAATCTACAAATAGAAATACCAGCAGTACACACAAAGCAGGTTCCTCTGTGGATGGAGGGTTGTTTTTTTATATATATAATATAATGATTTAAGGAAATAGTAATGTACAAGATGAATAGTTGAACAGTCTCCTTCCCACATATTTTTCTAAAGTCATACTCGGTTGTATTACTCCTTGAATCTCAAAGCAAGATGGATTCCAGCCCATTTCACTGACTGTTAATGCACAACCATTGGAGATATCCTGCACCTACGGTACTGTTTTATGTTTTGCTGTGCCAGTGACTGCTTCTAGATTGCCAAGCCAAACTCCTCATTTTCCTTTTCCTCCATCTGTCTGAACTATCAGTGAGTGAATCAAAGCCTTTACTTTGGCTGTTGGAATGATGGTATGGCACTCCAGTAGGATCTCTCTCACTGCATTGCTGCATCCCTCTGGGATGCAGCAAGTTTAAACAGCCAGAGAAGGGCAACTAAACTGAACAAGGAGATGGTGGAGTTGCCTTACAAAGGGGGACTAAAAATAGACTAGAGTCTTCAGTTTGGAGAGGAGACAGTTGAGAGGGGATGAGACTCAGTTTTAGAACATCATGTCAGCTGTGGCAAAGCAGATGCAAAACCATTACCAAACTTGCTACTTGCATACACGTGAAGGACAAGAAGGTGTCCAGGGGCAGAGGCAAATGATGTCTGACCAGCCTGGTGGCCTTCTGTAAGGAAACGACAGGCTTCTACCCCAGTCTGAAGTCTGTTGAACAGTTACAGTTGGCTTTCCTAGGGCATCAATAGTAAGGCCAATACTGTTTAATATGCATAATCATATAATCAGTCAAACTTTGTTTGGTGTCATTTCTGATTTTTACATTTTAGGAAATTTGTCCCCAAGTTCTTGCACCCATCTCTGCATGGAGAAGTAAATGACTTGGTAAGAGAATTAAAGTGAGTAACTCTCCAGTTGACAGGAAGCATTATCTTATGCGGATAATTCAAGGTTTCATTCTCCCATTTTTATACTCAGCTTGTCCTTTTTAACCAAGGAAAAAATGTTCCTTGACAACTGGTATTGTCATACTGTGCACTTAGGGACTTCAAAGCGAATAATTTTAATTCCAAACTTAGTGCCAACCAGTGTTTCCAATAATTAAACTCTGTGATCTCTTCTGACTCCATGTATTTAAATAAATGACTTAGGGATAATGAAATCAATTTAGATTGAAATGGAATGATTTGGATTAGATGAGTCACTCAGAGGTTGTTCCAGCCTAAATCATCCCAGAATTTTATTGTTTTTTATTAAGGCTGAGGCAACATAGACTTTGCTCACATTCATAAAATTTGGAGAGAAAAAGGAAAGTTAGCTATGATACCCACTTTTGCATGCAAGCTGCTACTGACTGCAGTAGGAATTCTGCACGCAGCATTTGTCATCATCATTATTTTCTGATTTCTGAGGACTGACTTCCTCACTGATCTGAACTTCTGAAGAAGTGATTCCTAACACCTGACACTTCTGTCAATCCTCTTGTCCTCACTGCAAGCCCCAAGGTCATCACAGTGCAACAAGCTTTGTTCATACACTGAAGAGGAAAAACTGAAATTAGGAATCACTTTTTAAATATTTACTCACACCACTGATTTCATTACTTTCAGTAGAATTATTTGCAAGGGTACAGAGTTGACACCGTCGGTTAGGTATGCAAGTTAAGGATTCAAGTTTTATACAGAGGTGTCTGTGACACTGTCCAAAACCTCAGATTATTGCAGATTTGCATTTTCTGTAGGAGCTTTGGAAAAAAGAAAACAAACCCAAGGGATTCTAAAAGGATCACATAATATGTCCATTCTGCAAACATATGTCAGATTCATTTGTCATTGCCCCGCAGCAAACTGCTAGATGTTAACATTTCTGTGGTATCGGCTTCTACCATCTGGACTGAAGCAGGTTTTTGTATGACAGCAATTATAATACTCTTTCTAGGTCTTTTTTTCCTTTTTATTCTTGGAATTAGATGCACCCACTTGGAAACCTCTGAATCCACAGCAAGACTATGGCTGTTTTTTCCACATTAATGAGTAATTAATTTTGAACAGCAATCCAAAGAAATATTTAATTGCCTACCAATGAAGTCAGCTTGCTGCAAACAAAATTCTCCCTCTCCTTAAAAAAATAATTTTCATGACAGAAAAATTCTTTATGGTGTGAAACATACCTATTTTGGAAGAGTGGAAACTTTAATTAAATCACTCTTATGGGCAAGCGGGTCTGGTTTTCCTATTTTTTGCCCAATGTTTTACTACTACAACATTAGCATTAGTCACAGTTATGTCTCTGCTTAGCTTGCCAGAACGTAAGGGAGAAATCCAAATGTAAAGAAAGACGCTGTGGAATCTGTTCCTCAAATCAGAGTGTCACTACATGTTTTATTGTAGCCCAGACTGTTGAGAGAGCTCCAGATCCACCACAGATGACCAGGCAGCAATGACCCATTCACCCAACTATGCATTTTACTTACTCATATCCTTACAGGTATGTCTTACCATACATAAGTAAGGCTTGAAGAGCCTAGGCTAGAACATTTCTGGAAAAAAACCCACCGAAACTAGCAGGCTTATTTTGGTATTATTTTTATATACAGTAGGTAACATTTTTCTCTTGTTTCTCCTTGCTGGTCCTTCTCACTGGCTCTTTGGATATTGTCCTCATCTGGGCAACGTTAGCAGCAACCTTGCTACTGACTTCATAGGGTGATCCCCTATAGCTCTAATGATGGGCCTGTTGTGATCTCACAGTTTTCACTTTCATTTTATGCAACTGTCTTTAGTTGAGGCATTTCTGGTTTCATTTACTGTCAGGATTTTACAGGCTTACTGGTACAATCTACTCAAAAGTGTCCAGGCCACATATGCTAGAGCAAATACAAAACATTTCTTTTTACAAAATGTGGTTTAAATAACATTCATATGCATAGTTCCCTCAGAGAGCCTTCTAGTTTTTCACAACAGCCCTGTTTCGCATGAAGAAATGTGTTCTTTTGACCAAGGTGCAAATGGACTGTTTCTCATGCCCTTCCACAGTAAACATACACTTACATTCAAATAATTCAAAAGCCTTTTGTACCTGCATATAGTAGTTGGGTTTTTTTTATATTCCCTTCCTCATGCAGCGTCTCACATCACAAAATGGTTCTTTACTTCCTGATGATCGTCAGTCCTGACATTATACATTTGTTCCAAGTATTTGGCCACCTTCCTGACTGTCTTTCCAAAGGCGTGCAGAAGGCTAGTTAGTAATCCCATTCCCCAAAGCTGCCCAGCTTTGCGGAGAGATCTGCAGAGGCCACACCTGCTTAGTTTACTTTCCTCACCAACCGAGTCTGCAGCTGTGGTTCTTCTCAAAACACTTCACAGTATTTTTCATGGCCAGTGCACTGATGGCATACAAATGAATCAGAGAGGCAAACTTTTAAAAAAATTACA